TTTTTTTTTCTATATTTTATTAATTTTCATAAACATTTACAGAGATTTTGGGTTTCCATTCATTCATTGTTTCACTATAAAGTTGTTGTTGTTGAGTACCATTGAGTCAGATCCAACCCGTAGCTAACCCTCCAGTGGGTTTTCAGAGGCGGTTAATCCCATAGGAGGAGATTATCTATCCTTCTCCCAAGGAGCAGCTGGTGGATTAGAACCATGTACCTTTGAGATTGCAGAGCAAATTCTAACCACTAGGCCACCAGAGTTCCCAATGCTAGAAAAATGTGTGTTTTTCCAAGGCCTGGTTCATTAGCCAGGTTCTGTCTCAATAGAGTGCATCCCCAAAGTGAATGGAGCAAAGGTGAAGAAAGAACACGTAACACAGCAGAATGAGGCAAAGGAATAAAGATAAATATGATTATGTTTACTCTTAAATATGCAAGATTAGTTTAGAAAGATGCACAAAGCAAATTTTATTAGGTAAGAAGAATACACCCTCAAAAGAGGACAGTGTCTCTCCTTGTGATAGAGCTAGCCTTGACACCTACACTCTAGCTATTTGCAGAGACAGGGTATTGGCAGAACTTCCTTGGTTCCTATTGGATGGGTCAGTTTTTGCATCTGCTGATTTATCTGCTGTTTGGAGTCCATTTCCTGTTTCTCCCCTAGGCCTTAGTCATCATAGTTTCTGAGTTCTTTCTTACCCAAACACAGATCAACCAGCAACATCACGATAGGTAGAGAAAAGATTGAAGTTGTCAATGATTTCATATAAGCTGGATCCATAATCAACACCCTTGGTACCAGCAGTTTAGTTAAGTTGCATAAATTCGCTGTCAAGGACCTCTCTAGAGTACCATTGTTAGTTTAAAGACTAAGGCATCTCTAATCCAAGCCATGGTCTTTTTCAACTACTTGCTATGCATCTGAAAGTTAGACTAAGGAGGATAAAAGAATCAATGCCTTTGCCTTGTGGTGAAGATCTCATTAAGTACCAAGAGAACAAACAGGTCTATCTTAGAGAAAGTGAAGCCTGGGTCCTATCTGGAGAAAAAGGATGGTGAAACTCCATTTTGGGGCGTTTTGTCAGGAGGACCAGTCCTGGGAGAAGGATCTCATTCTTGGAAAGGTGAAAGGTTGCCAAAAGAGAGGAAAAGCCGAAATGAGATGGATTAATACAGTAACTAACAATGGGGTCGATTTGTCAGAGATGTTGAGGATGGCACAGGATAGAGCCCTTGTTCATAAGGTCGTTAAGAATCACAGTCAACTGACTCTTCAGTATATAACAGTGTGTTTTACACTGCTTGCCAACATCAGTGATAGATATCAATTATACTTGCATGGCTCCCCACTTCCTAGGATTAAAAAAATACATCTAGTCAGTGGCTGGCTGCCACGACAAACACAGAAATTGCTCTTTCTGGAGAGTCTCAGCCAGAGACACTGTCACAATCCACAGTGTGGGTGGAACCATCACTATTTTACTACTAAACCCCGGTCAAAGAAACCTCTCGTTTTATGATCAGACGGGGAAAGCTATCCTAATCTTTTCAAAGGACTGGAAGATTTACATCTGGATGAGAGAATAAAGTAGTTTCTATCAATTGTCAGTACCATGTTTACTATAATTAATCACCGGGAAACACCTCGTTTCCATGCCGGACACTATTCTCTAACACCACTTGGAACAAGATCAGGATTAATCCAATGGGTGGATGGAGCCACAGCCCAATTTGGACTTTACAAACGATGGCAGCAACGGAAAGCTGATCTCCAAGCACAAAAGGTTTATTAAAATTAAATAGGCATGTATTACTATTTGAATGTTGTTAAACATATCTTTATTGCAGTATGTGAAGTATTTCTAAGCTTACTACATTTACATAGATTTATAAATGTTACAGAAGTCTTGAAGATCTCTTTTTTAATAAAATGATTTTATAGAAACACATTTACAGAAATAAAATTTTAAGAGGTCCGCGGGAAAAAAACACCCAACCTATCATCTAGTTTCCCCACATCATTACAGCACTAGTGCCTAACAGTGTGTGTTAGAAGACTGAATGAATAACTCAATAATTTTCTGTATTTACTGCAACTCTGAGTCACACTCCAAAACGAAGCAGTTTCTTGACATCATTATCCTTGGACTTAGAAGGAACAATTATGTCAAATCCTCTAATCATTAACATGAGCTGACTGTCCCTGCCCTAATCAGGCAGCGTAACTTAAAGGTGAAGAGTAGGGTTTCATTAAGTGTAGGGTTTCATTTGCAATTTATAAACTTTCTTTACCCAGGAATAATTGCCTGAGGTCACGCATTCCTGAGTATGACCGTCCCTTGGAAAAAATGTCCTTAACGAGAGCTTTACAATGGCTATGACTAATTGCATGTGGGGTAATGGGAGAGTTAAAATTGTATTTGCTAGGCAAGCCTGTGATTGTTTTCAAACAGATCATCTAGGCTTCCGTTAGGAAAACTTGTTTCCAAATTTCCTCCGGGGGGGACCAACCTGGATTGACACCCGCGGCGGAAAAGGCACGCGCCGGGCGCTCGCGGGGTGCTGGACTCCGAGGCACAATCCGCAGGTCTGTGGGCGTAGCCACCGGGGCTCCGCCAAGTTCAAAGGAAGAGGGGCGGGGCGAGGGGCGGAGCCAGAGCGTTTGGGGCTGAGCCTCGGCGGGCGAGGGGCAGGCTGGGAAGGGGCGCCATATTGGCGTCCCCCGCGCTGTATTGTCATAAATAGAACCGGTTTTTGTGGTGTTTTTCACTCCTTGGTTGGATGACTCGACCGTAGGGCGTGGGAAAGTGAGGGAGCCAGTGAACGACTAGAAAGTGGACGGAGAGAAGACAGAGGAGCGGGGACGAGAGACCCTCGCCGGAGGAGGAGACGCAGGAAGCGATGAAAGAGATGTCTGCGTGAGTGGCGGGGGGCGGCGGTTGAGGGGTGAGGCGGACTCGGGGCCGGGGGCCCGTCGGTCTGGGGCTCGGTCGCGGGTTCCGGGGCGGGTGGGGCGAGGGCAGCTCACCTGGCCGCTGCCCGGGGCGGGGGACTTGGGTCCGTGTGCGCGTCCCCCCTCCGAGGACGCCCGGGGTCCCCGGGTCGCTGAGCGGGGGAGGGATTTGCGCTCGCCCCTGTGGTCTGCAGCCTGGTCAGCGCATTGGCGCAGAGCCCCCCACCCCCACCTCCCCGCCGTCGTCCTCCGGCTCCGAGCCGCGCGCCTTTCCCGGTCTCCCCTCTCCTCCTGCACCCGGGACCCGTCCCTCCCACCTCCCGCCGGAGACCCTTCCCCGTGCTCGGCCCCGCGTCTCCTCCTCGCTGGGAAAGTCGCCCCGCGCAGCCGAGAAGCCGTTGCCTCGGCGTGGCCACCACCCGGCACTCCCAGCGTCCAGCATCCCACGCCAGCTGGACGGCGGCCTGGCGGTCCCGCCGCCCCGGACCCTTCCGAGGGTCCCCCAGCCCCTACCCCCCATTCTTGGGTCCCGTGCATCGCCCCCTTGCAATTCTGGGTGTCTGTCGAGGACACACTCGGGTGGCCTGGTGGGCAGGGAGATGCGCTTTCAGCTCTGGGGCTGGAGGTTCGAATCCACCAGCCGCGCCGCTGGGGACAAAAGCTGGGGGCGGGGGAGGAGGAAACCGCCCGTGTAATTGACAACCTGCTCGAGGGTCACTTCGGACGCCACTGCGGTCAGGGAGGGGTTTTTAAAGTGAATCATGATGCGACTCTTCTTTATCTGCGTATTGTCGCTCTATCTGTTTATGCCCAACAATCGTTTTGGCGACAATTTTTTTTTTAAACTTTAAAGTTTGGGTTATGTGAAATGGGCTTGTTAGTCCCAGCTTGCCCACGTTAATACCCGCCCTGTAAATGCTTGTGCGTTGGTTCCGTCCCATGAGAGGCATACCCTTTAATTACTTTTCTCCAGTATTTAAAATGGTTTCTAAGTCTTTAAATGTTAATATAGCAGTGAACACTCATGTGCATACATGTACAAATTTCTTTGAGCGTGTGTACGCATGTGCTAAAACTTCCAGTATTTACTTAAAAGTTCAGTCAGTAAGTGCAAGAGAAACTGAGATTCTCGTTTATATTTATACGTATGTATGTATATGTGTATGTGCATATATATATATGTGTGTGTATGTGTATGTATAAACACACACATATGTAGGCAATCTCCTCCCTTGCAGATTAACTGCTTCTGAAAACCCGCTGAAGGGTCAGCTGTTGGTAGGTTCAGACTCTACGATACACCACAGCAACATACAAATATATATATTTATTGTTGTTTGTTTGTTTGTTTGTTTCTTTTCCCCTCCTGTCTAGTGAAACGGAGGTTAGAACCCTTAATCTCAGAATTTTAGGGTTAGCCAGGAGCCATAATGGTTAAAAGTGTGTGGAAAATGTGCTGCTCACCAAAACATGAGTCCGCCAGTTGCTCCCCTGGACAAGGATGTGACAGCCCGCTTTGTAAAGATTTGAAAACCCTGCGAGGCGGTTCTCTGCCCTGTATGGGCACAGTGTTTTCAGGATCAGCTTCACAATAAGTCAGCATCAATATGCTGTTTGTTTGTTTGTTTGTTCTAGGGATCAAAATAGCCAACTTTTTCTGGTATATTGATAAGAAAGTGAAACTAGAGATCTTAAAGTTAATGCCAGAACTGAGGAATTTCTGGAAGGAAGGAGAACAGAATGATAGATCTTTTTGTTTTGGAATTCAGATTGGATCAGTTTCTTCCTACTTGTTTGAATTTTGAGTAGTTTAAAAAAAAATGGCCCTTAACTAGGTGATGAGGTTGGCACAGGCTTCAGATCAGTTCATAGGGCACCTATGAGTTGACTTAACAGATGTATTCACCTCCCAGTATTATTAATGATAGTAAATAAATGGGCACATGGAAAGAATCAGGCTTTCTCATCCAGTGTCATCAAGTCAGTTTTGTCTCTTCGCAACCTGGGTTTTTGAGGCTTTAAATAATTAATTTTTTTTTTTTTTGTAATTTGCAAATTTCTCCCTCATAATGAGATCAGACTGCTCATGTTTCTGTAGAGGAAATAAATGCTGATGGATTCCAGTCATTGACCTTGTGTTAGCAGCCCAACACATAAATTAAGAGTAAAAAACCAAAAAGTCTTTGAGTAGAACTTTCAACATGAAATATAACTGGAGATTGTGTATTCTGTATGAAAAGAAATGATAGAGAAATTAGTCATTGGTTTTGATGTTTTGACTTTGTTTCAGTGACTCCTAGAAGACTTTTCAGAGTTGTCTTAGCTACCTTTTGCTTATTCCTACCTAACGAAGGACATGTTGGCTGAAGAGCAAACTTAATTGCCTTGGTAGAGATAAGCTAATGTTATGTAAAATTAAAAAAGTTAAAGGTAGTCATTTGTATATTTGTGTCACTGCTGACAAAGTTAATTTTGCCATTTAAAAGGCTGCTCTTTATTTTAAGAGACATTTTTACTGGATTAGTATTTCCCTTCTTCGGGGAGTGAAGCTAGGTTATACATTGCTTAGTTTGTGTATTTGTTTTACTTTCTTAGCACAGTGAAAATTTTACCAACTCATGTTAGTCTGAAAATTTCTTTTGGAATTACTTGCCTGTGAATACCCAATGTGTCAAAATTTGTGTTGCACCTTGTTCAGAACAGTAATTTCTTGGTGGTTAGCTAGGACCTTTGGTGAGAGACTAGTATCTTATCAGAGGTTGCCTTTTAGTTTAAAAAAACTTGATACTTACTCATTGTGGAAATTTTACATGTTGTGGCCTGGTTCATGGGAAGAGTACAAATAGCTAGAGCTGCTCAGAATGTTAGAACTATAAATTGATTCAAGTAAAGGATGTTAATGTAAGTTTTTCAAGGTCAGTTATAGTGATTTCCTTTTTAAAGCCAGAATGTTTTACACAAGGACCTTCTAATATGATGTTTCTGTTCACTCCTTGTGAGGCGATAAAACCCACCTTAAGCAAAACTAGTATGCTTAAAACTCTCTTGGAAGTGGTTGACTACTTTCCAAAGACTCCAGAGTCTAGATGGTACTTCCATCTGCGGGGAGTAGTGGAGGTGGCCCTGGCTCACCTCTTGTTCAGGCGCTTTGATTTGAGCATGATGGTATTGGTACTAGGTTGTCCTAATGCCCCCATACATGCCGCTTTGGACTTGAAAGGAAACCCTAACCACGAAAGCTGGAGTCCATATGAGTAGTCCCTCATAAACACCAACCCAGAATGCCCAGTTTTCTTTTTTAAAAAGTGCCTGCCCCGACTGACTACAATAACTAAGTAAGCTTTTCTAAGTCGGCGTGTATTAGATGGAAGGATTTCCGTGTGCTAGGTCATGGTACACTTTTAAATTGTCCTAATATTTGTTGGGGTTTTTTTTGTTGGTTTTTTTTTCCTTCTTCCCTGAACAGAAACACTGTGCTGGACAGCCAGCATCAACAAAAACATTATGGAATCACCTCTCCAATTAGTTTGGCATGCCCTAAAGAAATCGATCATATTCATACACAGAAGTTAATTGATGCCATGAAACCATTTGGAGTATTTGAAGATGAGGAAGAATTGAACCACAGGTATGCAATTTAAAATTGTGCATTATTTAGTAATTAATTGTACAAGCATATTAAGTACTTGCTGTATACCTGAGCTTTGGTGGTCTAGTGAGTAAAGTAGTTGCACTACCATCCTGAAGGCAGACAGTTTAAATCTGCTAGCTGCTCCATGGGAAAATGCTAGGGCAGTCTCCTCTTGTGGGTCAATATGAGTTGTTCCAGCTTGATGGAAATGAATAGTAGTGCTGTGTACCTGCCTTATTACAGGCAAGGGAGGTGGAAAAGGGGGAAGGGGGGATCTTGGACCTCACAGAGTTGACATTTTACTTTGGGGCTGGAGAAAGACTAAGAAGCTAAATAAATATGAGGGGTTGGGAGTTGTCAGGGAAAGCTGCTTTGAGTAGGAAACACTTGAGAGAAAATGAGTGAGCCAGCTGTGGTGGATGTTTGTGAAAGGAGCAACGTAAGCACAGGGCTTGAGGTGGATGCATACATAGTATATTTGAGGTTAGGTGGCCTGGGTGTCCAGAGCAGTGTGTGGATAGAAGGGCATGGGGGCAGTTGACTTAAAAGAAAGAAAAGAAGGAACTTGAAGACAAGATCATGAATAACCTTGACAACCCTTATAAAGGTCTTAGCTTTTACTTTGAGTGTAATTGAAAGTTATTCATGGTTTTTGAATGTCCCATTGACATGATGTGACTAGTGTTGTAATGGAGTCACTCTCTCTGCTGTATTAGAAGTTGTCTAAACTGGGGTGCAAAGGCAGAATAAGATTATAGATTATTTATTTGTTTAAGTAGAGTTGCCAGAGTTTAATGACTGGAATTAAGAGAGCTTTGTCAAGGGTTTGGGGCTGAGTACCTCAAAGGATGGAGTTTTTTATTACCTGTGGAGTTAGTTGACTGAGGTAGAAGCAAGTTTAGACAAATTAGGAATTCAGTAATGTGGATATATTACCTTTGAGATGTCTATACTATCGAGATTTTTTGGTGTTTGTTACGTATGAGTTTGGCTGCAGATTTTTTAATTGCAGAATGCTTTTATTAAAAATTGGATTGTGACTTATGATTGGTAATGAGAAAATGCTAGCCTCTTGTTAAATTACCACACTGAATTGGTTTAATTCCATAGTAAAGCAAAGAAAGCTTGACAATTCTACTGGTTTCTGCAGCTTAATTAAAGGTAACCTTATGATTTTGATTAGGGTTTTTTGCATCTCAAAGGTAACCTAAAGACCCTGAAATGCTGTCATCACCTTTGTCATCATTTCTTTAGAACTCTTATGTGCCTTTGAGCTGTGATGTTGGAGAAAAGTACCTTTCAAGGCCTGCCAAGACAAATATATCTTGGAGAAAGTGCACAGTGCTCCTTAGAGACAAAGAACATGAAGTGTTTGTTGTCTCCCATATTTTGGGGCATGTTGTTAGAAATAGTACTAGTACTTGGAAAAGACATCTTGTTTGGAAAGGTGGCGAGGCAGTGAAGGAGAGAACGACCCTCAATGAGATGAATTGACACAGTGACTGTAACAGTGGGCTTGAGTACGTTAGTGATGGTGAGAGGATGGAATAGGATATAGGACAAGATTTAGGTCCATTGTTCATTAAATTCCTATTAGTCATAATCCTCTTGAGGGTACCTACAACCATGTTAAGCGTGTGTGTGTGTGTGTGTGTGTGTGTGTGTGTGTGCGCGCGCGCATTATTTTTAAATTTTATTCTAATGACAGTTTATAGAGACTTTGGATTTCCATTCATTCATTAAGCATTTCTGTAATAATGCTTCTACTTCAGGACTCACACCAATTTCAATTCCTTGCCATCTAGTTGGTTTTGACCCAAAACTGACCTCCAGCGGGTTTTCAGAGGCTGCAAAATCATTGAAGGAAATTGCCTATCTTTCTCCCTCTCTGGAAGGAGTCACTGATGGTTTCAAATTGTCAGAGAGGAACTGTATTTAAGTTAGCAGCACAGCTCAGTATGAGCTAGGCCCCTGAGCTCCCTCCCTCAGGATCTACACAGGGTCCAAAAGGGTTTCTCTGTGTGTGTGTTGTTGTTTAATGCCGTCGAGTTGTAGACGACTCATAGCGACCCTATGAACGAACAGCCTGAGCACTGTTCGTACATAGAGTTTCCGGAGGCAAGCCAGTTTTGGAAGTGGATGCCACTCCTGCTTCCAGGCTTGATTTAGTCGGGAAGCTCCAGCCAACACTGTCCACTATGGGTGCCCATTACCGTGATTGGCACATCACTGTCACAGGCTTCAGCATCACAGCAACCACGAGTTACCTCTGTACAACAACGCACAGACCAGTGCTATACCACCTAGGACAGGAAGACAATTTGAACCTGGCCGAGGGCCACAGATGACAATCACCCACCTTCGGCTTGGTAGCACAGCTTCCTTCCACTAGGCCAACGTAGCTCTCTCTTGGTCGTCGTCATTGTTATTGTTGTTTAATGCCGTCGAGTCGTAGACGACTCATAGCGACCCTATGAAATATATATATATATTTGGTTTTAATCTAAAGCATGTTATTTTTATTACAGGCTGGTGGTTCTTGGTAAATTGAACAATTTGGTAAAAGAATGGATCTCTGATGTCAGTGAGAGTAAGGTAAGATGTAAATACATTTAATTTTTAGGTTCATTATGTGCTAGTCGTTAGTCCTTCTAATCATTTGTTGTTGTTGTTGTTATGTGCCATCGAGTCACTTGCGACTCATAGCACCCCTATGTATAAGAGCCCTAAACGCTGTTCTATCCTGTGCCAACCTCACCGTCTCAAACACACTCATTCCTGCCACTCCACTCACAGAATCGATCAGTCTCATCAAGGGTGTTCCTCTCCTGTGCCGTCCCTCCACTCTCCCAAACATGATGTCCCTCTCCAGGGACCAGTCCCTCCTTGCAACATGCCCAAAGTATGTCAGACGAAGCTTCAGAATCCTTGTCTCCAAGGAGCATTCTGGCTTCACCCTCTGCAGGACAAACCTGTTTGTTCTCCTAGCAGTCCATGGTATGTATATTCAACACTCTTCTCCAGCACCGCGGCTCAAAGGCATCAATTCTCTTTCTATCATCCCTATTCATTGTCCAGCTCTCTGATGCATAGCATGTAATTGCAAAGACTATAGGAGAATTGATGCCTTTGAACTGTGGTGCTGGAGAAGAGTATTGAATGTACCATGGACTGCCAAGAAAACAAACAGATTCATCCTGGAGAGGGTTAAATCGGGCTACTCCTTGGAGACAAGGATTCTGGGGCTTCATCTGACATATTTTGGACATGTTGTAAGGAGGGACAGGTACTTGGAGAGGGACATCATGTTTGGGAGGGTGGAGGGACAGCACAGGAGGGGAAGACCCTCGATGAGATGGATTGATTCAGTGACTGGGATAATCGAGATGGGTGTGTCAGAGGCAGTGCGAGTGGCACAGATAGAGCAGGGTTTAGGGCTGTTGTACATAGGGTCTCTATGAGTCGCAAATGACTCGACGGCATATAACAACATAGCTTGGATCAGGCGCACCTTAGTCTCCAGCGTGACATCATTGCTCTTGAGTACTCTTGAGAGCTCCCTCACAGCTGACTTTCCTGATTGCCTGGCTGCTGTTATGAAGAGTGGTGACTATGGAACCGAGTAAACTAAAACTGTTAACTATCTCAGTCTCTTTACCATCCATACTGATGCTGCCAATTGGCCTAGTGGTGAGAATCTTTGTTTTCTTGATGTTGAGCTTCAATCCATTTTGAAGACTGCAGTCCTTGACCTTCTCCAACAAGTGCTTCAGGTCCTCCTCAGTTTCAGCAAGCAGGGTTGTGTCATCCGCGTAATGCAGATTATCTAGTCATAATGTTGTTGTTAAGTGCCCTCAGCAGGCGACTCATAACACTAATCATAATAGAGTTGAGAATTATCTGAAATCCATTAAAAACATGGTGATTTGGTATATTTGGCGATAAATGGTTTCAGACAGTTGGATTTCCACATAGATGAGTCTGCTTTGTGCTCTGCTCTGAGCTCTCAGCAGAGTTCTTGATAATGGAGGTTGTTAAACATCCAAAGCCAGGGGATTGCTGCAGTTTTTAAGTAGTCTGTTTTCTCTGCTTGTACTTCTTTCAAATGTTAATATCTTCCCTTAAATCTCTTAACTGAGTATGGGTGTGGCTCAGTCCCAGAAGCTAAATCCCTGTGGTAGTAGAACTACCTAGTTTTTCCTAGTTAAACCCAGTAAAATACTGGAGATGTAGGATAGCCATCTTAAGCTTAATCAGCAATATCCAGTATTCATTTTTATCATCTGTCTTAATATGGGTGCGTAGCAGTATCCATAAAATTAAATCAACACATAAACCTTTTAACTTCACCCTTTCCCACTATCTTACTATCTCCCATCATAAATGTATGATCTTGGTCCTTTCCCTTTCTTCTCAAACCTAAAATGGCTTTTTTGGTTTCTTCCCCAACTTTGTAACAAGAAAACACTGCTTCTGACACCAACTGCACCTTACAGAATTTCGTTCTCTGCTGTGGTTGTTGTTGATGGAGATAGTTTATTTCAGGTTTTTTTGTGAAGTTAGTAGAGGTAAGACGCGGCCTTCACTGTGCTGCCTACCCTTTTAAAAAAAATTATAATTGCATTTATATTTGCATACAAAATTCATATGTTGTTAAGTGCCACCGAGTCGCAGGCGACTCATAGCAACCCTATGAAGGAGAGTCCTTGACCCTTGGGTGCTTTTCATCCTCTCTCTCCAGGTTCATATTGTTTCTGGAGGCAAGCTGTTATGGAAGTGGATGCTACTCCTCCTTCCAAGCTTGTTTTAATCGGGGAGCTCATATATACTGTGTTTAATTCATACCGTATGTCATACAATCATACCCATACATTGTGCTTTATAAAATAAGTTACCATAGACCTGTGCCCACGATTACCTGGTCTTTTCCAATCCCTGGTGGATCTTTTCCATTTCCTTTACGTCCTCCCTCCACCCACCAAACTCTTGCCTGCACTCTTTACAGGTGTATAAAGTTTGAGCTGTGTATCCCTTTGGGCACCTCTGCTAAGTCCTACATACAGGGTTGCTATGGGTTGGGATCAACTTGATAGGGGGCGGGGGGTGGGGGTAGTACAAAAAAGTGCCCTAGACCTTTTCTTTTTTTTTCCTGTCTGATTTATTCACATTGGTGTTCTTGGCCCTAAACCATTTCAGCAATACGAAAGTTTTACATGTAACAAAGGTGATATATGTGGTAGAGAATTTATTTTCAGCAGGGATTCATTCAGGGCATGTGGTTATGGAGGGTTAGAGCACTTGGCTGCTAACTGGAAGGCTCACAGTTTGAACCCACCAGCCACTGTGCAGAACAACAATGTCAGTTTCCATAAAGGTTTACAGCCTTAGAAAACTCTGTAGGGTAATTCTCCTTTATCTTCTAAGTTTGCCATAAATTAGGTTTTGGTTGGATTTTAGGAGCCTTGGTGGCACAGTGCATTGTGTGTGAGGCTACTAGTCATGAGGCTGGAGGTTTGAATCTACCCAGGCATCTCTTCTTGTAAAGATTTATAGCCTTGGAAATCAAAAGAGTCTGGATCAACAGGGTGGCAGCGAGGGGATTTTTTTGCCTTTTCATGGTGTACCGTTTAAAGAACTGGGCTTTTCAAGGCAGTCTGACTCTACTCATCAAATATCAGGTTGAGTAGTCTTCATCTGTAAAGATTGAGAGCCCTGCACACCTTGGTGGGTAGTTCTGCACTTTCCTACAGGGTACTACTCAGATTCATGGCATTGAGTTTGTATGATTAATTTGGTTCAGAGTGAGGGAAAATTTAACAATAGAAGTGTAGGCAGAAGTTGTCCTTCAGATGATAAGCTGATTGTGATCAAGGGATTTACTGTTATGTTAGAAGAGCACGGAAGAAAAATGTCTGCTAAAGAGTAGGGATGATTAATGAAGGCTTCTTGGATGAGATGGACCTCAGAAGTAGCTACTGAGATACCAGGACAAAAGAGGTGTGCCTTTCGGTCATTGGCATCCACAAGTGCAGTGGAAAAGAGAGGTGATGGAGTGTGACATTGACAGTTGGTACTTCAGAAGGGAAGATCAAGAGACAGATCAAGAATGGTCCCTACACACCCATGTTTATTGCAGCTATGTTCACAATAGCAAGGAGTTGGAAACAACCTAAGTGCCCATCAACAAACGAATGGCTAGAGAAGCTGTGATATATTCGCACAATGGAATACTATGCTGCATTAAAAAACAAGGAACTCATGCAATATTACTCAAAATGGTTGACTATGGAGAACATTATGCTGAGTGAAA